TTTGGGCATTCCATTACTTCACAGCTTTTATTTGATAACAAATGGAGGTAAAAGTGACAGAAGACACAATGTGTATCTGTATAGGTAGAGCTCCTAAGTCTACTTATATTCTACATGTGATGCATATGAGGTCACCTGATAGAGCCAACGTGCCCCAGAGCATCCCTTGGTCTTCAGTCAGTCTTGCAATAATTTCTCAAATATAGAACTCTGCCTTGAGGTCTTGGGTGTTAGCCCAGGATTCATATCAGTAGTTTCCATCATCTACTACATGGTTCCTTAAAGGTACTACCCGCCATTCAATCACAGATGACAGCACAAACAACAACCATCAGCTCAGGGATGAGGATCTCAGCCCAAAGAGATCAAAGCATCCCGAATGATAACTTCAGCACAACCAACAGTTCCAAACTTAATGCTGACTCAAGATATTCTATCACAATTTCAAGCCACAGCCCATCAAATAATAATTCTGACACTCCCCTCTGCTCCAAGTCCAACATACAGTTTTTCCAGCCAACCTGTACCCCCTTTTATGGCCACTGTAACCTCCCAAACGCCCCCTTTAAAAAAATCACTCACCTTCTGCCTTATCCCCAAAGTTTCAATCTATGTAGCCTTGTTTATTACACTTTGTTCCTGACTTAGCCAATGCCAATAGTATCTATCGTAGGCAACTTAACTGAAACTCCCAATTTCTCTGCTTATGTATATCTTGGCAACCTCCCTATTCTCCTCCCTTATACAATGTAGGCACATTGTAAGAAACTAAAGCTTACTTTACTGCCAGGCCCTTACTTACTGAAACATACCCAGGTCCTAATGAAGCACACTGGGACCTACTATTGCCTATTACCTACTCCAATGCATCAAGGAACACAAAGTAAATTATCTAAATTTGTGCTTGAACCATTCTTTTCCTTCTTCCTGTGTTGCCCTTTTGTTGTGAGCTAGCACCATGCAAATTAGCCAATTTATATACACTGGTGCCTCACCACTACACAATTTACACAAGTTTAAAACTCCACCTCCTTCCATGCTTAAGAGCTGGGACCTGGACACGGTAACTGCCCCCACACCACTCTCCACTATGCCTGCCACAACCACATCAGCTCCAATCCTTTTGTTCAACAATCCATGCTACACTCTCTACTATTCCCACATCACTACACCACTTCCTACTTTCCTCCACTTGCTGGATAGTATCTATAAAACAGTTAACATGCTACCCAAAAAATAAAACTCCAACAATGCTGGACCAGGCACCCCAGCTTGGGTAAACCACTTATACAACTAATTCCCACGCCCTTGGAGGTCTTTGCTATCCATATTAACCACTATCTTCTTTGGTCACCTTCCAGTTCCTTTACTTCCCCCAGCACTTCCTCAGCCTCACCAGGCTCTTCCTCAGTATCTTTTGCTTCACAAACCTCATGCCCTTCCTAGCCTCTACCAACAACTGTTGTTATACACACAGCTATTAAAAGTATATGCCCCCTTATGTATGCACTAATGTACCCACAACAGGGTACACACAGTCTATCTTTTAAATCTATTATAAATTAAGCCTCATTTTTTATACGCCACATTTTATATAAACACCACAATTTTTGATATAATAGGCACAAGTCTAGGTCCTTTCAGTTCTGTACCACAGACTTAGCACCTAGAGGCCAACCAAACAATGTCACAACTCCTGGCAGACCACATATATCAAAAAGCCCAAGATTTAGAAGGCTTTAATAAGACAGAAATTCTGTAGCTGCTGTAGGAGCTGATAACATTGCATTGGCATCTCAAGGTAGATCCTTGAAGGGAACCTCTGGCTGTATGTAGGTCAATAATATAGGAAAAGTCTCTAAAATAGTTCAACAGATAAAACAATAAATCAAAATAGTCAATGATTTTGCCAAGTTACTATCATACTCCAAGAGATTTTGAATCCCCACTCAGATCTTCTCTCAGATTCTTCATCTACCTGGACTTTTATCTGGCCCCACATTTTCTTTCATAAAACTATCAACCAGATTATTTTAGTCAACTTTGCAAATGTGCCCTGTCAAATACCAGTTTATTTACAGGGATATCTGGGAGGTTGCCATGCTAGCCCAAATGTCAGAAGCGAATTGTGAAGACCATAGGAAAGAAACTTGGACATGATTTAGTGTCTGCAAATTGTAAGCTTCATCTCCTGCCCATCCATGTTCACTGCCTCCTTCATAATTCTGATAAGGTTCACCTATCACTCTCAAAGTGCAACCTCCCATTTTTTAAACTTGTTCAGGGAGGACTTCCACTGTATAAAATACCTGAACACTGACCATTCTTTCTGTTCCAGACCTTCTCTTAGACAGCTATCCCCTCTACCTTAGATCATCCCAAAGCACTACCATCATGAGTTGTGTTACCCAAATCTAATGATGGTGAGGGTACTTCCTTACAACACAATGAAATTGCTGCAATATGTATATCAATTGCATAGAAAAATAAAGCTCTTTGCAGATGACATGATTATCTACACAGAAAGCTCCAAGGAATCTATACAGCATGGCAACTTTAACTAATACGCAAGTTTGGCAAGATCATAAAATACATAAAACAATCAACTGCATTTTTATATACTAGCAATAAATGACTGGAAATTGAAATTTGAAAAATTCTATCATTTAACTTAGCACCAAAAAACACAGAGTACTTAGGTATAAATCTAATCTAATAAAATATGTGCAGAATCTATGTGCTGAAAACTACAAATTATTGACAAAAGGAAATGGAAGGGTCCTAAACAAATAGGCAGATATTCTGTGTCTGTGGTGTAGAATATTCCATATTGCTAAGATGCTAAGTCTCCCTAAAGTCATTGATATATACTCAATGCAATCCCAACAAAATTTCCAGCAATTAGTTTATTTTCAAAAATCACAAAACTTATTCTAAAAATTATACAAAAGTAAGCAAATTAAAAAGGGCAAAACATTTTGAAAAAGAAGAATGGAGTTGGAAAACTCATAACTTAAATAAGGCTACATATTGGCAAAATGATAGACACATAGACTGATGGAACCAAGCAGAGGCCAAAAAAAGACCCACACATGTATGATCAATAGATTTTCCACAAGGGCTAACAGAAATTTGATGTTAAAAGGATACTTAGTAAGTGGATGTTCACAGGCCAAAAAACACGGTCCTTAACCTCACACTTTATAAAGATGAACTCACATGGATCAGAGACCTAAATGCAAAACCTGAAACCATAAAATTTTTAGATAAAAAAGGAGAAAAATCTTAGTGACCTTGGTTTGGGCAGAGTTCTTAGATCTAAAACCAAAAGCACAATCCATGGAAGATGAAAACAGAACTTCATCAAAAACAAAATTTCTACTCTGTGAAAAACACTGATAATGGAATAAAAACACAAAACACACAGAGATAAAATATTTGCACAACATGTAACTGACAAAGGACATATGTCCGGAACATATAAACTCTCAAAAATCAAGAACAAGAAAACAGTTCCCAGAGAAAATAGATATACATACAGGACACATTCAGATATAAAAGACGCCCAACACAGTCATTAGGGAAATGCAAATTAAAACCAAAGTGAGTTGCCACGATAAACCTATTGAAATGGTAAAAACAAAACAAAACCCTAATATGCATTGATGTTAGGAATGCAAACTGGTATACCCATTTTAGAGTTGTTAGCTTTCCACACAGATGGACGTACTACACAATTCCACTCTTTAAATATTTACTAAGACAAAGAAAACCTGTTGACACACATACCTCTTTGCAAATATTTATCACTGTTTTCTTCATAATTGCTAACAACTGGAAACTCAAATATCCTTGAATTCATAAATGGATAAACCAAACACGATTCATCCATACACTAGACTACCATTCAGCAATAGAAGGAATGACTACAGATCCATACATCAAGATTCATGAGTCTCAGAAGCATAAAGTGAAAGAAGCCAGACTTGAAAGATTATATACTGTTATGATTCCATTTTAGGACATTGCAAAAAAAGTCAACTACGCAGACAGGAAACAGGCAGATGGCTGCCAAAGGCAGGGAGAGGAGACAGGGAGATGGGTTGACTACAAGAGTACAAAGGAATTTCAGGGTAGGGGGTCGGTCTTGGAAGTGTTAAACATCTTGATTGAGTTGGTAGTAAGTAATATAATAGTAAGCATGTGCCATGACACAGAATGATATAACTAAGAGTCGATTTTACTATACAAACTATTCCCTAATAATAATTTTACAAAAAATGTTAGCTTGTAGAATTTTCATAGATGTCTTTTATCTCACTGAGGAATTTTTATAATGGACACTGATTTTGTCAATCTTACTTTCCTCAATCTACTAAAATGATCATATATTTGATCAAGAGAATCCAGACATATAAGAGGACACACATCGAACCAAAGAACAGACTTAACTAATGTGAGGTATAGCAATCAAACTTGTTGCCACTGGAGGTGGGAATAACTAGAAATGTACACGAGGAAACATTCTGGTTGAATAGAAATTTTGTATACATTGATTTTGGTGATTACATAAGTGTATACATTTGTCAAAATTCATGAAGTTGTAAAATTGAGATTTATGCATGTTACTGCATGCAAATTATACCTCAATAAAATGTTAGCATATAAAAGTGCTGGTCAAAACCCACTGAAGTGACTGGGGACCTACTGGCAGGTTGATAAACACTAGTTCACAGGACCTGTAGGGTTGGGAAAATGAGCCCATGTGTACAACTTAAATGTCCTCTAAGCCTTGCAGAATTCCTCTACTAAGCCCATTTCATAGAAATTTTTAGAGAACTGAATAAAAATTTCACATATGACCATTCTCCCTTTCACTCATTTAACATTAGTGAATACCTACCACGTGTTAGGCACTGAAAAGACGGAATAGATTTGGCAGTCAACAAATCCCTATGCTCTTGGGAGCTTATATTCTCACAGAATATAAAATTCTGGCACTTCCCTCTCAGCCCTTCAGTCAACTTCAGATCGGATGCATCCTTCCTAAGCCTCTCTTCTGTGTAGTATCTGCTAAATGTCAACATTCTGAATGAAGTCCTTATGTCACTGCCCTTACCAGGCTTCTCTGCTGTGTGGTCACCCAACCCTGTGACATGTCAAGCCCTGGATAAATACTGACTCTTTTATAAACAAATACTTTGTCTTCTAGGACAGGTCTGATAATTAGGCTATTTCAGCACCCATTTGAGGTATTAAAACATATAATTTTATGGAGCTCCTTTCCTGTGCAAATTGTCTGGGGAAGGCAAGTCCTTATCACCTTCATCATCAGCATGTACTCGCTGATGAATTATAAGACTTGAGCTCCAACTGAAGCCCTTCCCACACTCCTCACATTTATATGGTTTTTCTCCAGTGTGAACTCTCTGATGGGCTTGAAGGTATGAGCTCCAACTGAAGACCTTACCACACTCCTCACATTTGTACGGTTTCTCTCCGGTGTGGACCCTCTGGTGGGCTTGAAGATAGGATCGCTGTCTGAAGCGCTTACCACACACATCACACCTGTATGGCTTTTCTCCTGTGTGGACTCCACGATGAGCCAGAAAATTTGAGGCCCGACAGAATCCTTTCCCACACTCCTCACACTGATATGGTTTCTCCCCAGTATGGCACCTCTGGTGGGCTTGAAGCTGTGAACCCACGCTGAAGCCCTTCCCACACTCTGCACACTGATAGGGTTTCTCTCCCGTGTGGACTCTCTGATGCACTTGAAGACTTGAGAACTGACTGAAGGCCTTACCACACTTCTCGCATTTGTAGGGTTTCTCTCCGGTGTGGATTCTACAATGAACGTTAAGATCTGAACTCCGGCTGAAGCCCTTGCCACATGTCCCACATTTGTATGGTTTTTCTCCAGTGTGGCCTCTTTGATGCGCCAGAAGATTTGAGGCCTGACTGAAGCCTTTCCCACATTCCTCACATTTATAGGGTTTCTCTCCTGTATGGACTCTAAAATGAATGTTAAAATCTGAGCTACGACTGAAGCCCTTTCCACATGCATCACACTGATATGGTTTCTCACCAGTGTGGCCTCTCTGATGGTCCAGAAGATTTGAGGCCCGGCAGAAGCCCTTCCCACACTCCTCACATTTGTAAGGTTTCTCTCCAGTGTGGCTTACCTGATGGGCCTGAAGGTGTGAACCTACACTGAAGCCTTTCCCACACTCTTCACATTTGTAGGGTTTCTCGCCTGTGTGGATTCGACAATGAATATTAAGGTGTGAGCTGTAACTGAAGCCCTTGCCACATGCCTCACATTTGTACGGCTTCTCTCCAGTGTGGATTCGCTGATGAGCCTGTAGTCGGGAACGCCAGCTGAAGCCCTTCCCACACTCTTCACATCTATAAGGTTTCTTTCCCATGTGGGCTCTCTGGTGGACTTGAAGATATGAGCTCTGACTGAAGCTCAGCCCACAGTCCTCACATTTATAAGGTTTTTCTAATGTGTGGACTATCAGAGGAGCTTGACAATGTGAGCTTTTCCCGACGTTCCTCCCACATTCCTCGTATTTGTGTGAATTCTCTCCAGTGGGGACTCTCTGGTGATGGCGAAGAGATGATCTCTGTCTTAAACCCTTAAACGATGTGTCATACTTCAGTGATTTCTCTCCACTATGGACCCTCTGATGGGCTCGAAGGCTTGAAAGCCGACGGAAGGTGTTTTCACATTTTTCACATTTATAGGGCTTCTCTTCTACATGGGCTGTCTGGTTAGTTTGAAGATGACAGCGCTGAAGGAAACCTTTCTCGTGCTCCTCTGCCTGGTAGGTTTTTCCTCCTGGTTGGTCTCTGTGGGGAACCTGAAGATGTGAATTCTGATTAAAGCCTTTACCAAATCCCTCATCTTTATAGAGTGCATCACCTCGTTTTTCCAAATGAGAGCCAGTTCCTTGAATACGGACCATGGAATCTTGGCACTGGGCTAATTCCTTTGTAACCTGTTGCCAGATCTGCGAGCAGAACAGCGCTTCATGTGGCAGGAACTTTGATCCAATTTCCTGAAGAGTCCCCAGGTCATTTAGATTCTTGTCTCCTAAAAGAATAATGGGAATTTAGAGATGAGGCATATAAACACTTGGTTCAGAGATGTCAGGGCTATAAACGTAGGTCCATTGAGAATCATACTAAGTTTTACATGGGAGAAACAGGTTAGAAATTTAGTGGCCGCAGATCAAGATTCCTAGGGAGTTTCTACAAAGATGAAGCTGCACTTTACTAAAAGCCTTGTCTTTGCTTTGTCCTTGCTTTGCTTCAGCATATGTCTGATAAATAGCTTCCAAATAATTCTTCCCATTGTATGCACATCTGACCAAACGTTCAAAATATTTAGTAAAACAGAGAGATTATCAGAAAATGTCCCCAGGCAATGCTGAAAACCTTTGCTTGAAATTATTTCACTGCAAGTCTGTTCTATGTTAGAAGCCTTGAAGCACTGGGTTGGTTGTAAAGACACGTGTTTGGGAGAACCTATCTTATCACATAAGTGCCTAAAGTTCAGAGTATAAGCAGAGAATGGCCTTTCACCTCCTACTGGGAAATATTCTTCAGGACAGTAATGGGGGAAGAGGTTTATAGTACCATGTATCATTCCAAAACCTCATAGCAATAAAGTTCCTATCATCTCCAGGGGGGAAAAAGTGAAAAATCAGAAGCTTAATCTTTTACACCAGAGCAAGAACTTGTGAGGAGGAAATGAACAGGGTATGGCACAGATTCTCAAAGTAAATACTGGTCAGGAAGAGTTATGTTCTCCTTGGAACTCTGTTCTACCCATAAGATACACACCTAGCTACCTGCTTCTTTTCAGATCACTCGTCAAATCACACCTTATCCATGAGGCCTCTTTTCCCATCCAATTTCCAGCAGTAAATTCTCCCTCTCCCTGGCCATCTGCCTGGCATCTGCTTTACCCCGTTTTGTTTTTAAACAGCACATATTACATCTGACGTACTATATATGTATGTCCTTTGTCTTTTTATTTTATGTCTTCTCCCACCTGAACGCAGCAGCCACAAGGACAAGCATTTTCACCGCTCCCAGAACCCTGTCAGTATCCAACAAAGACATGTTGAAAGAATATGTAAGTCCCAGTTTGACTTCTTTGTGGAGTTTGAACTATGTTTTTTTTTTTTTTAAGATTTTATTTATTTATTTGGCAGACAGAGATCACAAGTAGGCAGAGAGTCAGGCAGAGAGAGAGGAGGGAACAGGCTCCCCGCTGAGCAGAGAGCCCAATGCGGGGCTCAATCCCAGGACCCTGGGATCATGACCCAAGCCAAAGGCAGAGGCTTTAACACACTGAGCCACCCAGGCGCCCTGAGTTTGAACTATGTTACAAGAGTAAAAGAACTTTTCCAAGTAAGTTATCTAGAATAGGAAAAGGACTGGAAATAGCAATTTTGCTGGGAAGCTGAAAGGCTTCAGCAGATGCTGGGCTAACCTAAGTGGAGGTTGCTGATAAGAAAATTATGCTGATCACAAAATCACTGCAAGAATCCCTTTAAAGGAAAAAAGAAAAAAAAAAGCATAAGGCATAAAAGTGGACATGGGGCCTATGGATTGATTACTTCTGAAATTTTTGTACTCTCCTCCTTTGTGTGTAAATATTTTTCCCTTTTCACATAGGAGTCAATATTTAGAGCCTCAGGAATAATTCTCTGAAAGCAGACTGTCAAACTGATGGATAGAGAAACATGTTTTTGTATGGACAACACCAATTTTCCAAGTTACAGGCTGGGATTCAGTGAGTCTGAAATAAATTTAGTGGCCTATGACAAGCATTAAGAACACAGGACAGTATTAGAGGTGCTTCGGAAGTAAAGGCTTCTCTGGATGAAATGCCTGCTAGAGCTATAAACACACACACAGGGATGACGGTAGGTGACACCATTTCCTGTAACTCTGTGAGATGGGTGGCTGCCATGAGGAAAATCTTCAAAGGGAAAGACTAACTTGAAAGCTAGTTATTACCTGATAATTTTTCTCTTTCTTTCCTTTCTTTCCTTCTTTCTTTCTTTCCTTTCTTTCCTTCTTTCTTTCTTTCTTTTTTTAAGATTTTATTTATTTGACAGAGATCACAAGTAGGCAAAAAGGCAGGCGGCGGCGGGGGCGGTGGGGGGGGTGGGAAGCAGGCTCCCTGCTGAGCAGGGAGCCCGATGCAGGGCTCTATCCCAGGACCTTGAGATCATGACCTGAGCCGAAGGCAGAGGCTTAACCCACTGAGCCACCCGGGTGCCCCAGAATTTTTCTTTCTTGATAAAGTGTATTTATTTTCTTTAATAGGAGACCTGCCTAAAAAAGTGGCTATTAGAATCTTCACTCTAAAAAGTCATTCTTGGGGCACCTGGGTGGCTCAGTGGGTTAAAGCCTCTGCCTTCGGCTCAGGTCATGATCCCAGGGTCCTGGGATCGAGCCCCACATCGGGCTCTCTGCTCGGCAGGGAGCCTGCTTCCTTTCCTCTCTCTCTGCCTGCCTCTCTGCCTACTTGTGATCTCTGTCAGTCAAATAAATGAATAAAATCTTAAAAAAAAAATTAAAAAGTCATTCTTCACCAAGACAGTATGATTCACTACTAAAGACGACAGAAAAGCCACACAGGGAAAAGGATATTCAACTTGGTTACAAGTGCAAAGTTAAGCTTTCATTAGATGTGGGGGATTGTTTGTTTTTTGAGAGACAGAGAGAGAGAGAGAGAGAGAATGCACAAGAGAGTCAGTTGCGGGGGGTGAGAGGGAGAGGGAGAATCCTAAGCAGGCTCCGTGCTCAGTGAGGAGCCCGATATGGGGCTCGATCCCACTACCCTGAGATCGTGACCTGAGCAGAAATCAAGAGTTGGATGCTTAACCGACTGACCCACCCAGGTGCCTCTTTCTTATGATGTTCTTTTTTTTTTTTTTTTTAAAGATTTTATTTATTTATTTGACAGAGATCAAAAGTAGGCAGAGAGGCAGGCAGAAAGAGAGGGGGAAGCAGGCTCCCCACTGAGCAGAGAGCCCGATATGGGACTCGATCCCAGGACCCTGAGATCATGACCCGAGCCGAAGGCAGAGGCCCAACCCACTGAGCCACCCAGGAGCCCTCTTATGATGTTCTGATTTGAGAAGAGATCTACATGAAGGAAGGGAGAGGCCGAGAGGATGACAGAGAGAAAGGGCACTTCTTACAGAAGGAAGAACAAATAGAGAGAGGCTGATGATGCAGGGCCATGAGGGGCAGAGCGGAGCGCCAAAACTGGATGGAACAGACTGACATGGGGGTGTGACAGGTCACGTGTGCGGAGGATGGGGGCAAAGCAAGGAGCAGGAAGCTGGGACATCATAAGCCACTTGAAGTACTCAGCTTTTACTCTGAATCAGGTAAGACACTCCCAGAGATTCAAGCAGAGGACAGGATCTGGCGAACATATAGAAGAATCACTTAGAGTGGAGAATGACTATAAAAGAGCAAAGGAGGGGCGCCTGGGTGGCTCAGTGGGTTAAGCCGCTGCCTTCGGCTCAGGTCATGATCTCAGAGTCCTGGGATCGAGCCCCGCATCGGGCTCTCTGCTCTCTCAGGGAGCCTGCTTCCTCCTCTCTCTCTGCCTGCCTCTCTGCCTGCTTGTGATCTCTCTGTCAAATAAATAAATAAAATCTTTAAAAAAAAAAAAAAAAAAAAAAAAGAGCAAAGGAGGGGAGGAAGAGCACAAGAAACTGCCACAGAGTTCACAGGCCCGGCCCTGCTGTGGAGGCGACAGGAAGCACAGCCGACTCAGCCGCACGGCTCTCACCTGCGATGCCGCGGCCCTGGGTTGCTGTCTTTCTCATCTGAAGCTTTTCTCCCCTCTCGCACTGCAGTATTACGTGTGGGGTGAAGGGCTGATGCCCTGTCAAAAGGCAAGGACAAACATTTAAAGTTTAAAAATTACTAAACTACTAAAAATGTTATTCTAACCATATCATCTTTGGGACATCAAAATCAGTGATTTCCAAACTGTTAATTACGACCCATCAGAAGACGATGTTTGATGCAAAAATCCAGGATATGTGGGCCTTACCTGTAAATTACTGGAAAAAAAGGTCTGTTTTCTTCAGACTCTTTCCACCATTTCTCACATGATTTTCAGCAACATGTAGTTATTGCCAAGGGCTCAATTATTTTCTACCCTATTTCATTAAAAATGCCGGCCCAAGGAGAGCCTGGGTGGCTCAGTCAGTTAAGCATCGGACTCTTGATTTTGGCTCAGGTCACGATCTCAGGGTCCTGTGATTGAGCCCTGCATCGGGCTCCGTGCTGGGCGAGGAGCATGCGTGGGATTCTCTCACTCCCTCTCCCTCTGCCCTTTTGTCCATTTGCACATGCACACATACACTCTCACTCTCTCAAAAAAAAACAAACAAACAGGGCGCCTGGGTGGCTCAGTGGGTTAACCCTCTGCCTTCGGCTCAGGTCATGATCTCAGGGTCCTGGGATCGAGTCCCACATCGGGCTCTCTGCTCAGCAGGGAGCCTGCTTCCCTCTCTCTCTCTCTCTCTCTGCCTGCCTCTCTGTCTACTTGTGATCTCTCTCTGTCAAATAAAAAAATAAAATCTTTAAAAAAAAAAAAACCAAACAAACAAAAAAAATAGCTAGTACAATACCCTACATATGTGTCATGACCCACTAATGAGAGATGACCACAGCAGTCATCGAATCAATTTACGGCTCATTTATAAAACACACTTTGATGAGAGAAGACCAAAAAATGTCATCCAGTTCAAGAGCTCCAAAGGATACACACATCTAAGGATACAATAAACACTGCAGGGGGCTGAAGTCCACAGGGCGTCTGTCCTCACCCACAGAGAGCAGGTTCCTGAAGTTCTCCAGCATCACGTCTCCGTACAGCTTCCTCTGGGCGGGGTCCAGCAGCCCCAACTCCTCCTCCGTGAAGACCACCGCCACGTCCTTGAACGTCACCGCCTCCTGCAACACCAAGCACACGCAAATTCAATCTTGCACCCAATGGCTGCTGGGAGAAGGAGCACTGAGAAAACTGGAAGGGATGTGTAGGAAGTAGTTTCAGATTCTAAGAGACGAAAGTCAATTTTACTACAATATAAGTAAACATTTCAGGTAATACATACTGTATCACGTTAGATTTTTTGCTTTCCAAAATAAATACTAAAAAGAACTTTCAAATAAGTATTAGCCTCCTGTCTTAATTATTTTCTTAGAATAAGTTCCAAGAAGGAAAAAACTGCAAAATCCAAGAATATGCCACTTCAAAATTACTATGTACGATGGCAGGTTTCCTCCTTTTCAACTTTTTCTGTATTTTATTCTTCCCCTCAGAAAACTTAAGTAGCCCTAATTCTCCACACCATACATAACACTGAATAAAACCAACGTTTTTTTTTTTTAAAGATTTTATTTATTTATTTCACAGAGAGAGATCACAAGTAGGCAGAGAGGCAGGCAGAAAGAGAGGGGGAAGCAGGCTCCCCGCTGAGCAGAGAGCCCAACGCGGGGCTCGATCCCAGGACCCTGAGACCATGACCTGAGCCGAACGCAGAGGGTTAACCCACTGAGCCACCCAGGCGCCCCATAACCAACGTTTTTAAGTCCTATGTAATCTGATTAGTAAAAAAGCAACTTATTTTTCATTTTGTACATATTTGCCACTTAATAAATGATCACATTTTCATATATTTACTGGCCATCTTTATTTCTTCTTCTTTACTACCTTGCCAGTCAATGTCCTTTGCTCATATTCCAGTCAGGGTTTTATTTTATGACTATAAAATTTCTACTAGAGACTTTAAGCTATTTTTAAAAAAATATATATATATAAAACATATTTTAAAAAACATATATAAAAACTCATGTTTTGCTATTTTTCCTGGATAGCTTTGTGTACGGCATGGTTTCTCAACCTTGACACTACTCACATTTGGGGCCAGACAACTGCATATTGGGGGGGCTGTCCCCTGCATTTTTGCAGCAGCCCTGGCTTCTGTGCAATAGAGGCTGAAGCCTCCCTCAAGTTGGCGACACCAGAAATGTTGCCAGACACTGCCTGGGGGCAAAAATCACCCACGAGTAAGACCAGCTGGTGTGCAGTACAGTCCTTAACTATTTTATATGGAAACTGTGTGCTCATCGCGGGAGCCCTGCATCTCCACGAGCCCTGAATGAGCAACAGAGATCCTAAAGGAGCCACTGAAGAGTCACCATGAAGAGGCAGTCTCATTAGCTGTGGTGTCTTCTGTATACGACAGCAACTAAGCACACACAGAAAGGCCTAAGTCCTCAAGAAGAATTATTTTCCCTTGCCTCCCTCTTTATCCAGAGTCTTTTTGGATCCGTTGGACCTTTGGTTTCCTGCGTGAGCCTAAGAAGTTTTCTAAAATTCTATAATCCTGTTTCTTTGGAATTAACATGCAGGGGCGACCACTTACCACTCTTGAGGCTGGTCGGAAACTAAAGGCAGTAAGAAAAGCATCAGTATGTCTTCCTTTACTAGTAGACTTTTTAAAATTAAGAACACTATTACTTTGATAAAAAAATAAATCAATATGGGACGCCTGGGTGGCTCAGTTGGTTAAGCAGCTGCCTTCGGCTCAGGTCATGATCCCAGCGTCTTGGGATCGAGTCCCGCATCGGGCTCCTTGCTCATCAGGGAGCCTGCTTCTCCCTCTGCCGGCCATTCTGTCTGCCTGTGCTTGCTCTCTCTCCCTCTCTCTCTCTGACAAATAATTAAATAAAATCTTAAAAAAAAAAAATAAATCAATAGGTAAATAAAAAATATAAATCAGGAGTGCCTGGGTGGCTTCATTGGTTAAGTGTCTGCCTTCGGCTTAAGGCATGATCCCAGGGTCCTGGGATCGAGCCCACATTGGGCTCCCCGCTGGGCGTAGAGTCTGCTTAAGATTCTTGCTCTCTCAAAAAAAAAAAAAAAAAAAAAGATTCTTGCTCTCTCTCTCCCTCTGCCCCTCCTGCTCATTTCCTCTCTAAAACAAATAAGTTTTTTTTTGTTGTTGTTTTTTTTTAAAAGGACTCTAGTTTTCTTATGGGAAAATACAGAAGAATATTTTCTTCATGTGACTCACCAGTTATGCCTGGCTACACTAGGCCAAATCAGAGTGTTGTATGTGCAAAATCCCCAAGGTACCCCTAGCAAGTGTCCTTTCTCAATTTAGATTCCTAAAATATTAAGAACAAAGAATAGCAAATGCCTCAAAATTCCTTTTTGAGGAAAATGGCTATGTTAGGAACACCATTAGTACAATATTCTTTCAAGTATGTCAAAATCAGAATTTATTATAATGTCGCTTTCCTGGTTTTGCTTTTTTAAGCTTTTATTTAAATTCCAGTTAGTTAGCATACAGTGTAATATTAGTTTCAGGTATACTATAGAGTGATTCAATACTTCCCTACAACACCCGGTACTCATCATAACAGTGGTCTTTAACACAGTAAAAATTCTAAATGGCCAGGGCGCCTGGGTGGCTCAGTTGATTAAACATCTGCCTTCAGCTCAGGTCATGATCCCAGGGTCCTGGGATCAAGCCCCACATCAGGTTCCCTGCTCAGTGGGGAGCCTGCTTCTCCCTCTGCCTGCCCCTCTCCCTGCTTGTTCTCTTTCTCTCAAATAAACAAATAAAATCTTAAAAAAAATTCTAAACTACCTAAATGTCCAAGAATGGGGCAAAAGTTATGAGAAACACACACACACACACACACACACACACACAGAGTCCATCATTGATTCAAGGGAATATGATATAGCCATTAAAAATGTAGGGAAGAGGGGTACCTGGGTGGCTCAGTGGTTAAAGCCTCTACCTTCAGCTCAGGTCATGATCTCAGGGTCCTGGGATCGAGCCCCGCATCGGGCTCTCTGCTCAGCAAGAAGCCTGCTCTTCCCCCACTTTCTCTGCCTGCCTCTCTGCCTATTTGTGATCTCTGTCTCTATCAAATAAATAAATAAAATCTTTAAAAAAAAAAATGTAGGGAATAGGGGCACCTGGGTGGCTCAGTGGGTTATAGCCTCTGCTTTCGGCTCAGGTCATGATCCCAGGGTTCTGGGATTGAGCCCCACATCAGGCTCTCTGCTCAGCAGGGAGCCTGCTTCCTCCTCTCTCTGCCTGTCTCTGCCTATTTGTGATCTCTGTCTGTCAAATAAAGAAACAAAAAATCTTAAAAAAAATGTAGGGAATAAAAAAAGTAGGAACTATAATATTAATTAATTAGAAAAGCATAATTTGAAAATTTTAACTATATAACTATTACAACTATATGGTTACAAATGCATATAAGGAAAAGAACATGGGAAAATGAAAACAGTTTTTATAAGGAAAATATAGTAAAGTGGGAGGTTTTTTTTCACTGCTAGTGACCTTTCTCCTCTATTTTACTTGTGAAATTATAAAAGGTGATAAAACAAAATAAAAATTAATCTACACTAAAATAAAAAGCAGTGATCCTCTGGCACAGAAGAGATTCTGAAATGCCTGCTATTCTGTTTAATCATTTTCCAGAACGCATCTAATTGCTGAGAAACGAGACAATCGTTTAAAACCTAGAAAGGAAGATGAACTCACCTTGAACTTGGTCATTTTGCACTTGTCCTTCTAAGGAAGGGCTGAGTCCGGAGAAGGCACAAAAGGGGAAAGAGAAAAAAAAAAAAGCCATCAGAGTTTGGCCAAGACTATCCTTAACCCATTCAACTAACATATTATCACTACCCATATTTTATGCTTCACATCAAAGAGCCATGGTGCCCTTTCCTCAGGGGGCTTGATGGGCAGAGGGTGGGCTGGATTCCTGAGCCTGACCCCTTCGGCTGAGAGCCCCTGCACAATGAACAACTTGCCCAACCACACACAAGTTCTCCTTGTCGCTTTTAGGGTATGAATCTGATTCTAGGGAGTGTGGATGTGGAGAATTAAGTACCCAGGTTGAGAAAGTTATCACCAGGGCCAAATGTTTTAGGTCCACGGTACTACTACTTACTAGCTATGAAATCTTCGACAAATTATTAATGTCTCCGTGCCTCAATTCTTTCATCTGTAAAAATGGAGGGGTTAACAGTGCCTATTTCATAGGATTGTTTTAAGAATTAAATCAGCAGGTGCAGGGCACACAGAACACTCTTAGGGTATCTTATTTCTTAGGAGCTGCAGAAAAGCAGGTAATATTTACTAACATAAAACCTGTCCTCATAAATGGTTTCTATCAACGGGAGCCTTTGGAGGCTGTTGCTCTGTCATACAAAAATCACCTTTAACCCCCGAAATATATTATTCTTTCTTGGTCAGCATACTTAACGGGATGCCTTTACAATAGTATTTAAGAATACATGGATGACTTTGTTTTCCTGCATAAAATGAACAGAACCTAAAATTTACCCTTTTAACCATTATTAAGTTCGTTATTATTACTATTATTCACTATTAAGTTCATTAAGCGCATTCCTGTTGCTGTGCAGTCTTCACCACCATCCATCTCCAGAACTTTTTCGCCATCCTCAACTAGAACTCTGTACCCATAAAACAACAGCTCCCCATCAGTCCGCCCCTGAGCGCCTAGTAACCACTACTCTACTCTCTCTCTGTGAATTTTACTATATGGACTTTTCTGTTGGGCTTTTCTGTTGTTGTTAACAGAGGACTGTTTTTTGAAAGATATGAGACCTTGTCAAATTTACTGTTAAAAGCAGGACCTTGAAAAAGACTCTCATGAAGCTGAAGAAAAAGTAATAAAAACCTGTGACTCAGGGGTGTCTGGGTGGCTCAGTAGGTTAAATCCTCTGCCTTCGGCTCAGGTCATGATCCCAGGGTCCTGGGATTGAGCCCCGTACCGGGCTCTCTGCTCAGTGGGGAGCCTGCTTCCTCCTCTCTCTCTCTGCCTGCCTCTCTGCCTACTTGTGATCTCTGTCAAATGAATAGCAATAAAATCTTTAAAAACAAAACAAAACAAAAACAAAAACCTGTGACTCTGCAAGACTTATCTACCCATAAGTGAGGTAATCGTTGTCATTATGTCATTCAAACTAACAAGGTATAATAATCCTAGTAAATGATTAAAAACAACAAAAACAGCAGTGGGTGGCTTTAACTGAGCACCGAGTACATGTCAGGGACCTTACGAAGCACCTGGCACACTGTTTGGTGAAGGTACTGCCCACGTACCTATGACGAAGTTACTGTCGCACAAGTCGTGTGACTTCGGTCCAATTGCCTACACCTCTGTGCCCATCCTCAGCTACAACAAAAAGATCAAAACAGAACTTCAGCCAGAGGGTTACTGTGGCGGAATAAATGAGCTAATCTGTGCAATGCCCCTGGCACGGTACCTGGCATCTTGGGACGTTTTCACTTGATGACGAGGACTGTGGCTTCTGTTTAACAGATGAAGAAGCTGAAGTTTCATGAGGTCAAGACACACGGGTGGAAGTGGAATCCAGCTCTCGTACCAGAACCGGTATTCTAGATGCTTCTCTGCTGCTTCTGAGGACAAAAATACGCTGATGGGACTCCAAGGTCTCACAGGAAGAGAAACGAGAGCTGAGAGCTAGGGATGAGAGACATGGAAACGGGGAGACGACTCTGAAGCCAAAGGATCTGCTTGAGGGAGAAGAGAACAGCACTGTGAAGGGCGTAGGCTCTGGAATCAGACCACCAGTTTGTGAATACTGCATCCCCAACTTGCTAATACTCTGTCTCTCAAAAAGCGCAAGCTAAAACTAGAGATAATAATAATGGCAACAATGATATTACCAACCTCAGGGGAAGGGTAGTAGGTCTAAGTGACTATATGTCAGACACTTGGAACAGCGTCTGGTGGCTTAAACATTCAACGCAAGTGACTGGTATGGCTGCTTCACATGGAACACCCAAGGAACCCCTTCCTCGGGGCGGAGGCAGGCAGAGAGTGGGTTAGATTCCTGAGATCAAGCCCTTTCCAGCTGAGCACCTCTGGGTAATGAACCACGGCCCAACCACACAGGTGGCCTGGATACAAGTTCTCCTTTTCACTCTCAGGGTAGGACTGATTCTGAGGAGGGTAGAAACTGAACATACGATAATCAGGTTAAGAGATTATTATTGGTTAATTGTTGGTTAATTTGTTACTTATTAGTTAATTACTATTAGTTACTCCTCCATCTTTAGATACAGGAACCCTAGTATGGAAAAGGGCAATGGAAAACTTCCCAATCTTGGCAGAAATAGGCTTCTGGGATCTGTGATTCACTTTGTTCTGACTCTATCTGCCCAAAAACTTTTGCTCAGTAAGAAGTGTTCTGCATGGAGCGCTTTCCATCACCCCTGGGGAAAGGGGGATAATTGGTAAATCAATCTTGTAATTAATACCGACTCAGCTTTGTAGCTCAAGCACTTGAAACAGTGCTTGGAACAGAAACTGCTCAGGAGACACTCAGCAGTCAGTGTCAGGGTCTTAATGAATGAAGATTTCTTTGAGTTATTAAAAGAAATTTTTTTTTTTTAGAGAGGGAGGAAGAGAGGGGGGTGGAGGGGCAGAGGGAGGGGAAGGGAATCTTAAGCAGACTCCACACCCACCATGGAGCCTGACATGGGGCTCTGCCTCACAACCCTGAGATCACAACCTGAGCCAAAATCAAGAGTTGGACACTTAACCAACTGAGCCAGCAGGCACCCCTGAGTTGTAAAATTTTGAGGCTGATCCCAGGTGGGAGGATTTGGAGAGCAGGTGTTTTATTTCCAAGATTTTCATCCAAGTCTTTCACAATATTTGCAAGACCAAGGTCATCTTTGGAAGGAAAAGAGCCTCTGGATTTTTCTTCTAAGATTTTATTTCTTTATTTTAGAGAAAGATGGCGAGAACAGGTAGGAGGAGGCACAGAGGGAGAAAGAGAGAGGGAATCCCAAGCAGACTCCACATCAAGCCCAAACTGGGGCTCAATGCCAGGACCCCGAGATCATAATTTGAGCCCAAATCAAGAGCTGGACACTTAAGCAACTGAGGCACCCAGGTGACCCCTTTTCTTTTTTAAGATTTTATTTATTTGAGAGAGAGAGAGAGAGAGAGAGTCTGTGCGCACGCAGGTGCGCTCGCACATACACATGCATGAGTTGGGGGGTACAGGGGAAGGGGGAGAGAGAGAAGAGCGTCTGGATTTTTAAAACTACCATCTCAGGGCACCTGGGTGGGTCAGTTGGTTAAGCAACTGCCTTTGGATCAGGTCATGATCCTGGAGTCCCAGGAGTGAGTCCCACATCAGGCTCCCTGCTTGGCAGGGTGTCTGCTTCTCCCTCTGACCCTCCCTCTTCTCATGCTCTCTCTCTTTCTCTTATTCTCTCTCTCAAATAAATACATAAAATCTTTTAAAAATTAAAAATGAAATAAAACTACCATCTCAGAAAGGTGATTTCTGCTTTTTGAAGTCAGTGCCTACATGGGACCGTTACGAAATCCACACAATGTGTCCATCAAAATATTCAGAGCAACTAGCTCACTGCCTACATAATTAGCAATAGACAGGTTAATTTATAAATTCTTCATTAAGTAAATGAGTTTATCAATTCACTGAACACTTACGGAAACCTCACTAAAAGAGATACAATTGGGGTGCCTGGGTGGCTCAGTAGGTTATGCACCTGTCTTTGGCTCAGGTCATGATCTCGGGAGTCCTGGGACTGAGCCCCACATCAGGCTCCTTGCTCAGTGAGGAGTCTGTCCTCTCTCTGCCCCTCATCCCGTTCATGCTCTCTCGCGCTCTCTCTCTCAAATAAATAAAATTAAAAAAAAAAAAAAGAAGAAAGAGAGAGAGATATATATACAACTTGCTCACAGTTTGGTGATTATATGTTGCTACCTGGCAGAGTAGGGTATGGGGTCCTCTGGGTCCCCTGAGGCCCATGGAGCAGGTTCTACATAAACATGGCTTTTGCTGAGCTGTGGGAGATGACTGAGTTCTACTAGCCCAAGAGAAGTAGAATCACCGGAAAACCTCAAGAGAACAAATGCTATGATGGGAATAAATACAAATCAGAGGCAGCAACAGATAAGCAGGTGAGTGGGATTCAACCTCCCCAGGATGTGAGTTCCAGTTTTATCTGCAAGGCAGCAGGAAAGCCTTGAGGAAGGGAGGGTAAAAGATCCCTTTGTCTTGTAATCAGATTATTCTCTCAGGAAAGAGATTGGAAGGGGAAGTGGCTGGGATCAGAGAGGACTATGTGGAGGATGAAGTCAAGAATCATTTACTTCTTGGAGAGAGGGGAAGATGGTGGCAAAAGCAGGAGGACCCTAAGCTCACCTCCTCCCATGAATACAACCTCCTCCCATGAATACAACCGGATAACCTGGAAATCATCCTAAATACCCCAGAAATCAACCTGAACACTGACATAACAAACTCACAAGTAAAGGTAGAAGCCAAGAAGTGTGGAGCCTTGGTTTGGAAGAGAAACAGATTGTGGCCTCAGTGGGAAAGAGGGAGCCATGGTTGTGGAGAAGTGTGAGAGACAGAAAACACACAGGGAGCATGCTATGGGAAAATGAATCCCCCATAGCCATGGGCTCAGAAAGCAAGAGGGGCCTCATTTCAGGAGTTCTTGCAACCAGCAGGGCTGAAAGCCTGTATGTAGTCTGAAAGGTCAGTGGGCCTGGCTCAGGCAGAGCCTGGAGACATCCTTCTTGGAAAGAAGGCAGGACAAAACACCTGTGGACATACAGCGTGGAGGCGGCATGGGAAGTGCAGAAGTGCACCTGGGGCACATAGTGGGGAGGTTGTCTGCTCATCCTGGGAGTGTGTTCCGGAGAGGCTGCATTCCTGGAGAGACCCTCCTGGAACAAAGAACTGGCAGGAGCCACTGACCCTCCCTTACCCATCAGCATAAACACAGAGCCACTTGCAGGAACCAGCACAGCACTGACGCTCCCTCTGTAACTTCCTTACACCAAGCAGAGCACACGCCACACTCATAGGAGACACTCCCTGAAGCACCAGGCACTGGGGAACAGAGGACACTACATGGCAGGACACTACAGGACCTCTTCTTCACAAGGCCATTACCCTCCAGTAAGGGAGATGTCACTGACTTTCTGAACACAGAGAAGCAGGCACAGACTTAGACAAAATGAGAAGACAGAGGAATCTGTCCCAAATGAAAGAACAGGACAAGGCCACGGTCAGAGATCTTAGTGAAACAGATCTAACTAACATGCCTGATAGAGAATTTAAAGTAATGGCCACACAGATACTCAGTGGACCTGAGAAAAGAGTGGAGGACACTGGTGGGCCATTAACACAGAACTAAAAGAATAACAGAGATAAAGGGCTGAATAAATAAAATGAGAAACACACTCAAAGGAATGAACAGCAGGCTGGAAGAGGCAGGGGAACCGATTAATGACTTGGAAGACAGAGTAATGGAAAGTAATTAAGCTGAACAAAAGACAGAATAAAGAATTCTGCAAAACAAGAATAGACTTAGGGAACTCAGTGACTCCATCAAACATAGTAACATTCAGATTATAGAGATCCCAGAAGAAGAAGAGAGAGAAAAGGGGGCAGAAAAGTTATTTGAAGAAATAATGCTGAAAACTTCCCTAATCTGGGAAGGAAACAGATATCCAGATCTAGGAAGCGCAGAGAACCCCCAACAAAATAAAAAAAAAGCAGATCCACACCAAGACATATTGTAATTAAAATGGCAAAAATGTAGAGAAACAAATTTTGAAAGCATCAAGATAAAAGAAGATAGTTTCTGCGAGCACTCGGTAGGAAAGGAACTCAACAAAGACTTGCAGAATGACTGCTGTAATGAACAGCTGACAGATATGTTGTGTAGATCAGGGCCTTATTATTTATCTCCTACTCTATGCTAGCCAAGGATCCGAGACATGAAAGACACAGCAGTGAACAAAGCAGGCAAGGACCGTGATCTCATGCAGCTGATATTATAATGGGGTCAAGGATATTAGCAAACTGATAATACAGTGAGAGGTATTTTTGAGAAAAATAAGGCAGGGTCGGGGCACTCGGGTGGCTCAGTCAGTTAAGCATCCGACTCTTGATTTCAGCTCATGATCTCAGGGTCATGAGATCAAGCCCCATGTTGGGCTTGGTACTGGGCGGAGAGCTTGCCTGGTATTTTCTCTGTCCCTTTCCCTCCACTCCTGCACATGTGCTCTCTTCTCCAAAAAGGAATGGTAAAAAGAGGTGAAGAGATAGCAGGAAGGGCTGCTGCAGAATAATTTTTTGTCATGGATGCTTCTCCCACATTTGACCATGAAACCTGAACCAAACAAGGGAGAGCGCATCATGCAGATATCTGGTACTGGAAGGATGTGGAATTCAGCCAGAGAGAAAACAGAAAATATTTTTTGTTAAGAAGCAGGAGTCTGTTCTCTCTACCAGGGCTTCACAAATTTTAATGTTCCATGAATCAAATGGAGACCCTGGGAAGGTACAGAAACCTCTGTCTGACCCCTAGAAATTCTAAATCAGAAGATCAAGGATGGAGCCTAAGAATCTACATTTTTAACAATATTCCAGAGGATGCTGATGCTGTTGGTTTCTGGGTCACTATGACAGTAGCAACAGTCAAAACAACCCTCCAGATATCCTCAGACAGACTAAAGACTTGAGGTTTTCCCCTTCAACTCTTCTTCTAGCCACAACAGAGCAAAAAAGTTAAGAGAAAGTAAATACACTGCAATCTTCTCTTTCTCTCTGGTTCTAAAAATGGGATTAGAATCAAGGTTTGTTAGGATCAGAAAGAATACCAAGGGCACTCTAAGCACCTAATTTTACCCACAAGGAAACTCAAGCCATTCATAAAATACTCTCCAATTTTTGCTGACATTTAATAGCAACTGACTTAGTACCTACCATGGCACCATTTCCGCGAATGTAGTACATGTGCTAACTTATTTGATCTTCACAAATCTAGAGATTGAGACAAAAATCATCCCCATTTTACAGGTAAAGAAGATGGAGCACAGAGAAATAGCTCCGTTCATGATCAACCAGTGACCAATAGAAAAGTCAAGATTTTCACCCAGAGCCTTATCTACTAGGACTGTGGTTCTCAACTTGGACAGCACATTAGACTCACAAAGGAACTTTAAAAAAAACAACAACAAAAAAAGGGTTCAGGCCTTACTACAACTAATCAAATCAAGTCTGTGGAGGTGGGCGGCTAAGGTGTGCACTCCTACACACCTCCTACTGCCCCAGGCCACAATCTCATTGTCCCGTTAGGACACTGCACCAGGCACTAATGAACCTAGGCAATATGGAGCCCAAGCCCTTGTCTTATAAGCAGTGGTTGTCAACTCTTGTGTACACCGCATTATAAGGCCCGAGATTCCATGTGCTGCCTATACAACTTTGAGCCTTACAGGGCCCAAAGGCCTAGCCATGAGTTACTCTGCTCTCTCCAGATACGGCCCTGGCCCCTGACCCTGGGGGAAAGGCTCCCCACCCAGCTACTTCCTCTATATATGAACCAGGGTCTAGATTCAATACTATTTGACATCTTGTATTCCAACCTCACCATGAGCCTGCTAAATCACAAAGCCTATCTGTCAAAAACCCAGCTTCCAGAGAGCACGCAAGAGCCCTCATTCTCCTGACCACTGACCCCAACCTGCTTCTTTTCACTAGTACCCAATACAGATGTCTCCACCTGGTTATTTGCTGCCACTCTAGTCATAAAGGCATAGCCCCCTTCCTCTCTCTGCTTCCCAACCCTGCATGTGACAGGCTTCATATGGTCCTATGTAGCAGGCTATGCCTCTTGGTTCTGGGGGAACCGTAGTGTTAAAAACCTTCTTTCTCAATGGAGTGAACCTCTCCATGTTGCCACACAATAGCCTGTATAACTTTAAGACCCGAAAAAATTCACCCTACCAACTGGAGCGGATGCACCCCACTCGTCCTCAACCTAACAGCCTTTACCTCCCTGCCAGCCTGTCAAATTATTCAGAGAAGCTAATCACATCTTCCTTCGGGAGCCAAGGGTCACTCTACATTCCTGTCACTACAAAAACCCCCTACCACAGCCCTTGCTGGTTTATGCTATTCTCGGGCGCAAGCCCCACACGGCCCCACATGGCATGTAGTGTCCTCCTCCCAAGGGCTGTGAGTAAGCTGCTCCCACTGACACCTGGCCAGGGCCGGGCGTTGTGCCTTCAGCCATCTCATACTATTTAGAACAAGCATTCGCCTTCCTACACAGGGTGAATAGGAGGTGATCAGAACAGCCTCAAAATCACCCAGAAAGCTAATAAACACAAAAACCCAGGCTCATTGATAGAGCAAAACTCCTAGGTCTTTATAGTCTCTCTATTTTTTACCAAGTTCCTTAAAGTGATTTTGATATGACCATAGTTTGAGAACCACGATGTTAGTCTATCCTGCCTCTCCAGGAGTTACCTGAGCTTCTGAAGGACACCCAGAAAATCAAGGGCAGGGTTAGACCTGGCACTCAGGCCTCCTAAGTCCAAACTCTCTGCTTCTCTCCATTGTACGATGCCCTTGGAAGCCTAAGGAGCAAGAGTGACTCATGAATGCCCCTGAAGGCAAATCCCCGGAGTGAAAACAGAGCTTCCAGTAAGACCAGTGCGATCTGACAAATACAATGCAAGTTCCATAGTATAATTTAAACGTTTCTAGTAGCCACATTAAAAAAAGTTAGAAGAAGCAACTGGGCTCAATCTTAACAATATATTTTAAAATATATTCAACCTACGATCAACATAAAAATTCAATTCAATCTGCAATCAACATAAAAATTACTGAGACATTACACTCCTTTTTTTCATACTAGTCTTTGAAATCCATTGTGCGTCTTACACTTACAGAACATCCCAATTAGCACTAGCCATATTTCAGGTGCTCAATTATCTCATGTACCTGATGGCTACCATATTGGATAGTGATGACTTGAACCTTTTTAAAGCAACCGAGACCAAATAACCATCCCCCAGGCACTTTCTGGGTTCAAGACAGCAAATTAGTGTTAGTTATAAGTTTAACCAATGGCTATTACAGAAACTATTCATTTTTGTTCAACTGAATGACAGAACTGAAGTAGGGAAAACGCTAGGCAGGTGAAAAAAAGAATACCTTAAAATCCCCTTTTGCCCTTTTGATAACTTGCTGCACTTTTCATGTCACATAGCCACCTATAATAGAAAAAAGACGTTAGTCTGTAATATGTCGAGGATTTACAACATCCCAGGAACTATGTCAAGCACTTTACATAGCATATCTCTTTTAATATTCACAAAAACTTTAGGAGGTGGGTACTGAGAGTCCTATTTGGACAGGTAAGAAAACAGAGGCACAGAGAAGTTAAATACTTTGCCCAAGGTTATCCAGTCAGAGTGCCAGAGCTAGGTTTTAAACCGAGCTGCTCAAGTTTGATCCTGTTCTGCCCGCTACTGACTGCCCCCTCTCCTGCTCCCCCTGCTTGTTTTCTCGCTCTTTCTGTCAAATAAATTAAAATTTTAAAAAGATTTTATTTATGTATTTAACAGAGAGAGACGCAACAAGAAAGGGAACACAAGCAGGGGGAGTGGGAGAGGAAGAAGCAGGCTTCCCGCTAAGCAAGGAGCCCAATGCAGGGGCTCGATCCCAGGACCCTGGGATCATGACCTGAGCAGAAGACAGACGCTTAACGACTGAGCCACTCAGGTGCCCCAATAAATAAAATCTTAAAAAAAAAAAAGAAAGAAAGAAAGAAAGAAAGAAACATTAGCATCGACTTGTTTCTAAGGAAATTTGTTTTAGACCATGACATATTGGGCATAATGGTATATCAGCTTCTGAACACTCTTGAAAAAGTTGGCAGTATTTGGCGGCCCACCACAAGTGAGATCAAAGATAAGGAATGTGAATATAGATTACCCTCCTATTTTCTTTCCTAATCCCAGGCTGGGGCTCCCCCTTTGATGGCTACTCACCGAATAACTCTTCTCTGCTAACTTCCAGGTTGCTGCTGGGCACTCTGGAAAGAATACGACAAGGTCCTGGAAAACAGCAGTCCCTGAACCCAACAAGAGAGAAAAGAAATCAAAGTTATATGCCAGTGGCAAGAGCAACCTCAAAGGAGCAAAGACAACCCCTCATCTTCCCTAACTGCAATTCTTTCTAACCTTCTCCTACGAGTAACATTCTCCTCGTTGCCAAGAGTGAAAACGTTAGAGTTGCTGTTTTTATCTGTGATGGACTGAATATAACCCCCTAAAACTCTTATGTTGAAGTTCTAAATCCCAGTTCCTCAGAATGTGATGATATTCTGGGTTCAAAAGTCAGCAAATTAGCAGAATATATTATATTTGGAGATAGGCCATTTAAAGAGGTGATTAGCTTAAAATGAGTTCTTTAGAGTAGTCCCTAAACCAATCTGACTTATATCCTAGTAAGAGGAAATCTAGACACATAAAGGGACAAGAGAAGCAGGCACATAGAGGAAAGGCCATGTGAGGACACAGCGAGAAGGCAGCCAAGGGGAGAGGCCTTAGAAGAAACCAAACCTGCCAACACCCTGATCTTTGACCTCTAGCTCCAGATGTGACAAAATAAATTTCTGTTGTTTAAGCCACCCAGTCTACGGTATTTCTTTACACCAATCCTGATATATTAATAAAATCTCCCTTCCACTGGTCTTCATATATAAACAATTTGTGATAGTTTTTCAGTCCCACCAACTCAACATCTGGGTTTGCTTTAAAATAGTCAAGGAGAGGGGCGCCTGGGTGGCTCAGTGGGTTAAAGCCTCTGCCTTCAGCTCAGGTCATGATTCCAGGGTCCTGGGATCAAGCCCCACATCGGGCTCTCTGCTCAGCAGGGAGCCTGCTTCCTCCTCTCTCTCTGCCTGCCTCTCTGCCTACCTGTGATCTCTGTCTGTCAAATAAATAAATAAAATCTTAAAAATAAAATAAAATAAAATAAAATACTCAAGGAGAAAGGCGCCTGGGTGGCTCAGTCAGTTAAATGTAGCCAGTGTCTGCTGGAGATTTTCTCTCCCTCTGTTCCTCCCCCTGTGTGCTCTCGCTCTCTCTAAAATAAATGAATAGAATCTTTTAAAATACTCAAGGAGAGCTATGAAATGTTTAAGCCTGATGATTCACAGACCTATACCCCGGGGGCAAATAATACATTATATGTTAATAAAAAAATGATTAAAAAAATAAAATAATCAAGGAGAAAAAAAAATGTGTGTGTGGAGAGCAGAGAAGCAAAAAAAAAAAAAAAAAACTAGCAAGGATTGACTCAGGGTGATTGTTACATAGGAGTTCATTATATTATACTTTGGGTATGCTTAGAAACTTCCACAGTAGAGTTAAGGAACTAACTGTAAATACTGGGGTAACAATATCATAAAATAAATAAACACACATTTAAAAACTGCTAAACAGAATGCACTAAAATGATTTTTAAAAATGTCTATATTCTAGTATTAGGAGTTATTCTTACTGCTTTTCTGTATATATTTTTATATTTTCTAACTTCTCTCTGATGAGTGTGCATATCTTCCATAATGAGAACATGAACTATAAATATTGTCTGAAATAAAAGGAAATGAGAATGCTTCTAAAATTTTATAAAAAGTCCAGACTCATGAATCCTGCTTTCAAAATACTTTACATTAAAATTCCAACCTACCTCCATTAACTTGATCCCAAATGACTTGACTCCTCTGCAGCCAGTTTCCTATGGTTAAATATTCATATAACTTGTTTTTGTTTTGTTTCCTAATTCCAATTTGAGGACTTCAAACTTTGGGACCAAGGATATCCATAAGGCACACACACCCTGGATTCAAATCCACTTCACCTACTAGCGATGTGACACAGGATAAGCAACTTAGTAACTCTGCCACCATTCCCTCGTCTGTACAATAGAGGCAGTAACAGTATTCACTTGAGAGGGCTTTGTGAAGACTGCGTTAATTTTTATAAAACCCTCGGGACGACGCTTAGCACTCCAGGTGTAACCATGAAGACTATCACTCATGTCCTGTGCATATTCTCCATATTTTCTCAATTATTTAACAGTTGCTCATGAATGAAATACCTTCTATCACCGCAGAAGAGGAAGACGAAAGAAAGCTAAGTACGGTCGCAGCGGGGCTCTGCTGCCAAGGAGTCTTCTTTCAGAAGTCAGGAGGCGGAAAAGAAAGGAGCCTGAGGTGCTACAGTCTGGTCTGCGGCCCTGCAAAAACCGCAGAAGGTATTTGTGGGTGACGCTCTCTTTCTAAAACACGAGTCAGAAATAGTCCGGGCAGAGCCTCCTGTCCCGCATGGATAAGAAGAGCCAGTGCCACCTGGAAGAGTTTCCAGAGAGGTAACTTTTCTGACTACTATTGTAGTGTTTATATTCACAACTAACACCTTGCCACACGTCCGAACTGCTCCAAACATTTCACTTAAACTCTATACCATGAATGTACAGGACAAATGTGTAAGGTAGGTAATATCCCCGTCTCCAGGAAAGGAAACTGAGATATGGAAAGATCAAGTTCTAGGAAGTGACAAAGCCGTGTGGAAGGGGAAGGGAAAGCGAGCTGGGCGGCGGGGAGCCGGGAGACCCTCGAAGCCTGCGGAGCCGGGTCCGCCACCAAGCCTGAGACCCGCGAAGCGCTCCAAACGTAGAGGCTCCGGCGAGGGGAAGGCAGGCAGCCGCCCCCGCCCCTCAACCTCGATCTCTGCCACTGGCCGCGGCTTTTCCTCCTTGTGACCTAGGGCCCGGAGCCGCTGATCTCACGGCCAGGTCAAAAACTTAGAAAAGGTCGCGGGGTCCCGGGGATCACTCACCTCCCAGAGAGAAACGAAGGCCGCGATGTTAACCTCCCGCAGCGGAAATACCTCCGACTCTGCGGAGCTCCTGGACTACATTCCCCAACATTCCCGAGAGGAACCCGGGCCGCTGTTCCGCCCCCGCGTGAGGCGGAAAAGCCGGTTCCCACACCTACGGCCGGAATCCAATCCGGAGTCCACGAAAGGAGAGGGCCTCGCATTCTTGCCCTCTGGTAGCCAAATGCTTCCGAACACGCAGAGCACTGTATTACGCTCTCTCATTTCTCCAGCGGAGCAAATAGTTTTGCGCTTTCCTGGAGCGGAAGTGCTCCAATCCCAGAAAGCGTCTGGACTACAAATCCCAGAATCCTCTGTAGGACTGAGCTTCCCGCCTACCTTAAATTTCTCTTTTGAATGATTAGGTGGTCTAAATAACCCTCCGGTGTTGTGGAACTGGGTTTGCCTTTCTTTCTCACTGCTCCCTTTCACACCTGATGTAGTTGGAAATAGGAAAAACAAAAGGAAAATTGTGCTGGGTAAAAGTAGAGATCATAAAAGGGGCGAGCTGCGCTGTGCTGAACAAGCCTTCTTTATTACCTGAGCCTGGATTCACCTGTGACCAAGAATCCATTTAAAAGGAGATGCAACCAGAAACTCCTGAGCGGCTCAGTCGGTTGAGCACCTGATTCTTGCTTAGGACTCAGGTTATGGTCTCAGGGTCTTGGGATCAGGCCGTGAGCTCAGTGTGGCGCCTGCTTGAGATTCTCTTCCTCTCCCTCTCCCCCTACACCCACTCACGCACTCTAATAATATTTTTAAAATATTTTTTTAAAAGAGATGCAAATATCCAGCAGTATATAAAACAGAAAGAGAAAAGTTCTCTGCTTTTCCTTCACTTCAGGAATTTTTTGTTGTTGTTGCACTGGCAGGAAATTGGTTTTGGATTGGATTTCCCTGATAATTAGCAATATTGTGCATCTTTTTATGTACCTGTTGGCCATTTGGATGTCTTCTTCGGAAAAATGTCTGTTTGTTCCTCTGCCCATTTTTAAAAATTGAATTCGTTGGGGTTTTGTTGCTGTTGTTGTTACTGAGGTGTAGGCATTTTTTTTTAAAAGATTTTATTTATTTATTTGACAGAGATCACAAGTAGGCAGAGAGGCAGGCAGAGAGAGGAGGAAGCAGGCTCCCCGCGGAGCAGAGAACCCATTGCGGGGCTGGATCCCAGGACCCTGAGATCATGACCTGAGCTGAAGGCAGAGGCTTTTAACCCACTGAGCCACCCAGGCGCCCCCGTAGGCATTCTTTATATGAGTCCTGACTCTTTACCTGATACATGGTTTCCAAATATTTTCTCCCATTCCATAAGTTGTCTATTCATTAAAAAATATATTTCTTTTGCTGTGCAGAGGTTTTTAGAAAATTATTTTCCACATTTTTATTTAAATTCCAGGTAACTCACTATATTAGTTTCAAGTATAGAATTTAATGATTCATCACTTACATACAACACCTGGTGCTCATCACAATTGCCCTCCTTAATACCCACCACCTATTTAACCCATCCCTCCTGCCCACCCCCCCCCTCTAGTAACCATCAGTTTGCTCTATATAGTTAAGAGTTTGTTTCTTGGGGCACCTGGGTAGCTCAGTGGGTTAAAGCCTCTGCCTTCGGCTCAGGTCATGATTCCAGAGTCCTGGGATCGCGCCCTGAGTTGGGCTCTCTGCTCTGCAGGGAGCCTGCTTCCTCCCTTCTCTCTCTCTCTCTCTCTCACTCTCCCTGCCTGCCTCTCTGTCTACTTGTGATCTCCGTCAAATAAATAAAGTTTAAAAAAAAAGAGTTTGTTTCTTGGTTTGGCTCCCCCCCACCATATTCATTTGTTTTCTTTCTTAAATTCCACACATGAGTGAAATCATATGGTATTTTTCTTTATCTGATGTATAGGCTTTTTAGTTTGATGTAATCCCACTTGTTTTTTGCTTTTGTTTCTTATGCTTTTGGCATCATACCCCCCCAAATACTGCCCATGTCAAGGAATTTCTTCCCTGTGTTTTCCCCTAGGAGTTTTATGGTATCAGGTTTCATGCTTGTTCTTAATCCATTTTAAGTTAATTTTTGTGAGTAGTGCATAACAGAGGTCCAATTTCATTTTTCTGCATGTGGTTATCCAGTTTTCCCAACATCATTTTTTGAAGAGACTATCTTCTCCCAATTGAGTGCTCTTCACTCCTTTGTTGAATATTATTTTACTATATATGCAGGGGTTATTTCTGGGCTCTCGGTTTTATTCCATTGTATCTAGTTTTATGTCAGGGTCATGCTGTCTTAATTACCACAGCTTTGTAGAATAGTTTGAAATCAGGAAGTGTGATGCCTCCAGCTTTGTTCTTCTTTCTTCTAATTGCTCTGGCTATTAGGCATATTTTGTGCTTCAACATAAAATTTGAGGATTATTTATTTCTATTTCTGTGAAACATGCCACTGGAATTTTGACTGGGCTTGCAATGAATCTATAGATGGCTTTGGGTAGTTGGAACATTTTAACAATATTACTTCTACTTCTTAAAGATTTTTATTTATTTATTTGACAGACAGAGATCACAAGTAGGTAGAGAGGCAGGCGGAGAGAGAGGAGGAAGCAGGCTCCCCGCCAAGCAGAGAGCCTGATGCGGGGCTCGATCCCAGGACCCCGGGACCATGACCTGAGCCGAAGGCAGAGGCTTTAACCCACTGAGCCACCCAGGCGCCCCTACTTCTACTTCTTATATACAAGATATCTTTCCATCTATTTCTGTCTACAATTTCTCTCATCAAAGTAATAATTTTCAGTATACAAGTCTTTTACCTCCTTGTTTAAATTTATTCCTATGGATTTTTTTTTTAGATTTTATTTATTTATTTGACAGAGAGAAATCACAAGTAGGCAGAGAGGCAGGCAGAGAGAGAGGAGGAAGCAGGCTCCCTGCTGAGCAGAAAGCCCGATGTGGGGCTTGAACCCAGGACCTGGGATCATGACCTGAGCCGAAGGCAGCGGCTTAACCCACTGAGCCACCCAGGCGCCCCTATTCCTATGGATTTTTACTTTTGATGCTATTGCGAATGGAACTACTTTCTTTCTTTCTCAGATATCCCATTTTTAGTGTATAGAAACCCAACTGATTTCTATATGATGGTTCTCTACGATACAACCTTATTGAATTCACTGATTAGTTCTAACCATTTTTTTGGTGAGGTCAGGATTTCCTGTATGTACGATCATATCATTTGCAAACAAAGACAAATTAACTTCTTCCTCTCTGATTCAGCGTCTTTTATTTCATTCTTGATTGAATGTCCCAGCATTATGCTGAATAGGAATGGTGAGAGTGGGTACATTGTTTTATTTCTAATCTTAGAGGATAAGCTTTCAACCTTTCATTAAGTATGGTAGCTGTGGGTTTGGTGTATATGGCCTCTATTAGGTTGAGTTATATTTCATCTGTATGTGATTTGTTGAGAGCTTTTATCATGAAAGGATGTCATATTTTTTCTAATGTTTTTTGATCCTTTTTTCATATGACCATGTGATTTTTACCTTTCATTCAATTAAAGTGGTGTATCACATTTATTGATTGGTACATGTTGAACCATCCATGCATCCCAGGGATAAATCCCACTTAGTCATGGTGTATGATCTTTATGAAGTGCTATTGAATTTGGTTTGTTGATATTTTATTGATAATTTTTGCATCCATATTCATCAATAGCATTTGTGTGTAGTTTTCTGTGATTGTATTGTCCCTTTCTGGCTTTGGTATCAGAGTAGTGCTGGTCTTCCCTATAAAATGAGTTTGGAAGTGATCCTCTCTCTTCAATTTTTGGAAGCTTGGTAAGGATTAGTGTTACTTCTTCATTAAATGTTTGGTAGACTTCACTAGTAAAACCAACTGGTCCTGAGCTGTGTTGGATTTGAGGGGGGGAGGTTCCTTTCCCCCACCCCTTACTTGTTATTGGTTTGTTCAGATTTTCTATTTCTTTCTGATTCAGTCTTGGTAGCTTGTATGTTTCTAGAAATTTATCCTTTTCTTCTTGGGTTACCTAATTTGTTTGCATATGATAGGTCATACTAGTTACTTATGAGTCTAAGAATTTCTGTGGTATCAGTTGTAACATCTCTTTCCTTTTTGACTTTATATCAGTATTTTTTTCTAAATCTTAAGATTTGTCAATTTTATCTTTCAAAAAAAGTCTCTTAGTTTCACTGATATTTTCTATTGTTTTTCTGGCCTCTATTTCACTTATTTATGCTCTTTGTTTTCTCCTCCTTTTTTCAACTTTGCACTGTTTGTTCTTTTTCTAGTTTCTTCAGATGTGAAGTTAGGTTGTGTGAGATCTTTTTACTTTCTTAATCTAGAGGTTCGTTGGTATAAGCTTCCCTTTTTAAACTGCTTTTGTAGCATCCCATAGGTTTTGGTAGGTGTGTTTCTATTTTCACTTGTTTCAAGATATATTTTGATTTCCCTTTAGATTTCTTCTTTGACCCATTGGTTGTTCAAGAGTATGTAGTTTAATTTACACGTATTTGTAGATCTTCCAGCTTTCCACCTCTTACTGATTTCTAGTTTCACATTATTGTGGTCAGAAGAGATACTTGATATGATTTCACTTTTATTAATCTTACCAAGACTTATTTTGTGGTCTATTATATGAACTACTTTGGAGAATGTTCTGTGTGTGCCTGAGAAGAATGTGTATTCTGCTACAATTGGATGGAATGTTCTATTTATACCTGCTAAGTCCATATGGTCTAAAATATGATTCAAATCCAGCATTTTCTTGTTGATATTCTGTCATGATCATCTATCCATTGTTGAAAGTGGAGTATTGACATCCCCTACGATTATTGCATTGTTACCTATTTCTCTCTCCAGATCTGTATTTGCCTAATGTAGTTAGGTGCTCCAATGTTTGGTGTGTATATATTTATGACTGTGATATCTTTTTTTTTTAAGATTTTATTGCATGGAGCACTGGATGTGGTGCATAAACAATGAATTCGGTTACACTGAAAAGAAATTAAATTAAAAAAAAGATTTTATTTATTTATTTGACAGAGATCACAAGTAGGCAGAGAAGCAGGCAGAGGCGAAGGGGGAAGAAGGCCCCCCACTGAGCAGAGAGCCCGATGCGGGGCTCCATCCCAGGACCCTGTGATCATGACCTGAGCCCAAGGCAGAGGCTTTAACCCACTAAGCCACCCAGGTGCCCCTATGATTGTGATATTTTCTTGAAGAATTTACCCTTTTTTCATTATGTAATGACCTTATTTATCTCTTGTTCCTGTTTTGGCTTAAAGTCTGTTTTGTCTGATATAAGTATAGCTACCCCTGCTCTTTTGGTTTCCACTTGCATGGAATATCTTTCTCCAGCCATTCATTTTAATCACTTTCTGTATGTGTTGGTTCCAAAACCTTGGATATATTGTTTGGGTCTGTCATTCATTGAGCCATCCAGAAATTAATGAGTTCTCTTTAAAAAAAAAAAAAAAGATTTTATTTATTTGAGAGAGAGAGCATGAGCAGGGAGAGGGACCAAGCAAATGGGAGAGGGATAAGTAGATGCCCTACTGAATGTGGAGCCTGAAGCTGGGCTCCATCCCAGGACCCTGAGATTATGACCTGAGCCAAAATCAGACACTTAACTGACTAAGCCACCCAAACACCCCAGAAATTACTTGAGTTCTGAGCAATGTCTTTTCTACACCTGTGTATGCTGTGAATGTGCAGCATAGGTGTGAGTCTGAAAATTGTATCAGTTCATCCATAGAACCAGAGTATTTCCTTCTTTTTTAAAAATTTATTTTATTTTATTATCTCCTTCTTTAGCAATGTCCTCTTCTGAATTGCCTCTCACACTATGGATCCTAAGGTCCTTTCCAAGTTTCTTTGACCCAAAAGATGAGATTTTCTAAGAGTTTCAACCTCCCACCCTATCACATATTTCTGTACTACTGGGCCACTCTTGGGTTACAGTGGCGAAATAAAGTTAGATATATAATGACCATTCCTCCCCACACTCTACAAAACAAAAGCTCTTTTCTCAGTTCCTGTATCTAAAGAAATGTGTTTTAACTAAGGATTTCATAAGCACTGACATCAGTGCAATTCCATCACTGGTGCTGGCCTTGGGCAGGCACCAGGAATGAGGGTGGAGGGGACAGGAGAAAAGGGGGATTCCCCCCAATATTCTCAGGGTTACAGGAGCCATCTTTTTTAGTGCTCTGGTCAGAAGATAAGTTTCTCTCAGGATTTTTGCCTCTCTGTTCCCAGGCTGTTTCCCAGTTTCATCAACTGTCAGTTCAAAGCCAAGAGATACAAGAGGTAAAATAAATAAGTAAATAAAAGGAAATTCACCATGCCGTACAAATTGATCTTCAAGTTTTTACTTCTCTCCTTAATCTGCCTGCTATTATTTGCTTTTCAAAGTCCTCAGGTAGTTGCTCTTTGTATTTTAAACAGAGTTTTTGGTTGTAATCCAAGGGGTAGATTGGCTGTAGTGTGCTTAGTCCATCTAGCTGTGCCTGTAATGTTCCATTTACTTTAATTCTTTGTATTGAACTTATTACATGTTACATTTATATACACTTTTTACAAAATATTTTATTCATTTATTTGACAGAGAGAGACACAGCAAGAGAGGGAACACAAGCAGGGGGAGTGGGAGAGGGAGAAGCAGGCTTCCCACTGAGCAGGGAGCCCGATGTGGGGCTGGATCCCAGGACCCTGGAATCATGACCTGAGCCAAAGGCAGACACTTAATGACTGAGCCATCCAGGTGCCCCATATATACTTTAAGAGTCCCATGCTCTACAGACTGAGCTAGCCGGGCACATTATACTTTAAATCACACAACAAAACATTACAGTTTTATTTGAACAGTCATGTGTTTTAAAGACACTGAAAAAGAAAAAGGTAGCTCACATATTTACTATTTTGTGCACACTTTTCTTCCTAACTGTTTCTTTTATGGTCAGTTAGCCAGCATATAGGACATCATTAGTTTCTGACGTAGTGCTCAATGATTCATTAGTTGCATATAATACCCAGTGCTCATCAGGACAATCTATGTTTTCATTTGATATCTTCCCTCCAGTCTGCAGAAATTCCTTTAGCATTCCTTATAGTTAAGGTCTTCTGATGATAAATTCTCTTAACTTTTTTAACTTTTTTTTTTTAAATCTAGAAGTATCTTCATTTTGCTTTTATTGTTGAAGGGTATTTTTACTGGATGAATAATTTGGGGGTATTCTTTCTTATTTTTCTTTTGGCCCTTTAATTATGTTACCATTGTCTTCAGTCTTTCAATTTTTTTTTTAAGATTTTATTGATTTATTCAACAGAGAGAGAGAGAGAGAGAGAGATCACAAGTAGGCAGAGAAGCAGGCAGAGAGAGAGGGGGAAGCAGGCTCCCCGCTGTGCAGAAAGCCCGATGTGGGGCTCGATCCCAGGACCCTGAGATCATGACCTGAGCTGAAGGTACAGGCTTAACCCACTGAGCCACCCAGGCGCCCCAGTCTTTCAATTTTTTAATGACAAGTCAGCAATCATTTGTATCATTTCCCCCTTATTTACATAAATGTGTCCTATTTATATAGCTTCTTTCACAATTCTCTTTATATTTGCTTTAAGGCAGTTTTATTATGTTGTGTCTCCCTGTAGTTTGCTCTGTTATTTATCTTTCTTAGAGTTCACTGAACTTCTTGAATCTATAAATTTGTATTTTTCACTAAATTTTTATTCCAACGATATACTGTATCCTGAAGGAAAGCGTATCTTCCAACCTGGCATTTTAGCTGTGTCCTCAAAAGGCCTTCTGGTGCTTTATCAAGTTGGCAGCTTTCTGTTGTTACAATATGTAATACAATGGAACCATGGTCCTGGGCTAACTCCTGCCACCTCCTTTGCAGCAAAGTAGATTCCTGGTTGGATGGAATGTTATTGGGATCCATGACAATGGTCAAAAGCTCTGTAAGCCTTGTATGCTAGTACTAGCTGAAGCCCTGTGGGCAGGAAAGGTAAATCCATAATCAAAATATGTGTTAATTCCTGTCCAGGGTGGAAGAAGTTCTGCCTTGCCATCAAAAGGTTGGTTGGTCTCCTTGAGGGACTGTGCCATAACTGGGACTCTGAATTTGTCTCTTTTGCTAACAAGCTGAATATTTTGTGGCACTAATAGCTACATCATCTTTGGTAAATGAAAGCCCATGCTGTTTGGCCCATAGGTAACTTCTATCCCTGCCACCATTGTGCCACAATTAGGAAAATAATGACAAAGACTGGATGATATTAACTGAGCACATCATTTTGTCTACCTGATGTACTGTTTCATTCACAGTACATGTTCTCTGTGGGTATTAATGTAAAATACAAAGTTGCTTAGATATACTTCATGCCTACTACCATGTATCTCCACATTCCTCCGCCCCAGACCTCCTTTCCCCTGATCTTCCAGTCTTGTTGTTCTCAGATATCTTATATATCAATCCGTATATCTTGTATATCAATCCATACACCACTGCACATGTGGCCATATCAATTCTAACTTTAGGTCACTTTTCCTTTCACTCAAAGTAGAGTACCAGATATGCTGATAAAATTCTTACTCCACTGGAAGAATTTTCAGGGCCACTCCTGAATGGGGCTATAGTGCACTGTCCATCCATTTCTGGCTTGTATACTGAATGGATGCATATGTGAATCAAACTCAGGACATTTCCTCCTCTATCAGCTGGTCATAAATGATCCCCCATGAGACCATATATACATATATGAGCTACGGGAGAGGTACTGATGCAACCCTGGTGAATGAAATGGAGCCTGGGTTATATATTCATATGAACTTCTTATGCACTCTGGTCCTGATAATGCTTGATTCCAGATGTACCACTTTCATCTCCAATGGGTGATTACGACTTATTGGGTCTGAGAGAAGCAAATCACAATGGACAGTTACAGGCGTTACAGGAACTACAGTCTACAGGAAATGCATAATGAAGTATTTAGTATTTTATTAAAAATGGAAGAATATATAACTTTAAAAATCAATGTAAAAATGAGAACACCAAAATAAAATTATTATCACTGACAATGACTACTTTGCCATTCGAAGTTACCATACTTTAATTGTGATAAGGCCTTACATAGGAACTAAAACTCTAATTTTGCATTTCACTGGATTACTGGTAACAATGTATTAATTACCTATAATTTGAAGTATGGCAAGTAATTCTCTGTTAACAAATTGAATGGTCTTACACAGGTCGTCTTCTCTGAATCAGTTTTCTCTTCAAAAAATAGAAATAACAATGATGCTTGAC